ATCACTAAGGATTTTTTTCAAAGCAAGAAAATATGGTACTCGATTTCATTACGTTTGGCCAAGGCTTCGTAGGTCAAAATTTTATCTTTTTTATTTTTGTATTATTTCATCGCGAAACCGTGGCCAGTCAGCTTGATCGTGCACAAAAATAAAAATTTGACAAATAAAAATCAAATGAATTTGATTCAAAACTTGTTGAAATCTTGTCCATCGCCCTGTTTTCTTATTTTAGCCAATAAAAAAAAAATACTTAAACCAAATCAAAATCCTTTTTTTTATGTGAGAAACGAACTGGTGGTACACTTGATATTAAGTGATAACTGCCGCTAATTGACATTTGTAACACCCGTAGAGTTATAGATGCGTTGCCACATTTTACTAAAGTTTGCCCCGGCTACCTTTACTAGACGAAACGCAGAATTATAATACTTCCACTTCACGCCGGTCTTCTGTGAGGTTGTGGTACTTACCCGGATAGACCTGCCTATTCGAATGGCGAATCAGTTGTCTATACAGGTAAATAAAATTGGAGGGTCTGTATGTAATATTAAAATACCAATGTACCAATACCGCTTTTTATTAAATGCATATGGAATGTATACACGCTACACACACATTTTTTTTTTTCAATTTTTGTCTGTCTGTTCTGTCTTTTTTCTGACTAATCTCTGAAACGTCTAGACCGATATTGAGGGGGTTCTCTCTCATTGGCAGATATCTAATGTAATAAGAAATAACTTAGGCTATTTTTTTTTAGAAATATTATTGGTTTTAATTCCACGCGGACGAGGTCGCGGGCACAGCTAGTTTACAAATAAAATTACAACTATTTAGTTAGCCCACTGAATGATTATTTTTCAGGTTTTAGTCATGTGTAAATAAGTACTTATCAATGAAATAACTTTGAAGAATAACGGTTTCACTTCGAAGAAAACCAATTTTCTTTCACTTCATATTTAAACGAAAGTTTATGAAAATCTTAATTTTTCACCAAAATCACCTTTGAAAAATAATGTTTAGAGATATGGTCTTAAAAGCTTTCCTAGCTAAGTTGTAAATTTTTTATTGATAAATAATATATGGAAATTTAGATACGGGTTTAATTATCTTTACCACAATGTTGTCTTTTAATATTTATTGTTACATTCGGATTTTAACATAATTATTACATTCACCCCTTTTAGATCAAGAGTTTTAGAATAAGAATTTTTTCTGTGGTAGAGCCAATGAGCCGTGATAGCTCAGTGTCCGGGCGCTCGCCTTTAATTAGATTTACTCGAGCAACCTGAGTTCGATCCCCGGTGCCAGCACCAATGAACTTGTTAATTTTAAGTGCTGAATTATCACGTGCTTGGCGGTGAAGGAAAACATCGTGTGGAAACCTGCATATTTTCACTATTAAAACGATAGAAAAGTTAAAGCTTTTAGGGTTAAGTGAACAGAAAGCAAAAGAAACGTTAAAAAATGTTAATGTTACGAACATTTTACTCGCCGCTTTGAATGAGGTTAGTTATAAAAGTAAATTTTATTATAATGTTAATTATGAATAATACTACAAACTGAAAATGAAATACTACTTATTAATATGTTATATTTAAATATTATAGATTGATCTTCATAACTCGCCGACTGGTACTGGTATGTTACTGTACCATCTGGCAAAATCAAGGCACAAAGAGTCGATAAAGTGTCATTCGTTTGCAAGTATATTGCTAATGGAAAACTGGACTCAACATTACGGATTGATGCTACACTTGAATATATTTTAAGTTGTGTTAATGAAACCACCATTGATATTCCTAAATTTGAAGCTGCATGTGGCGTCGGTCTTTCAATATCTCCAGAACAAATCGAACAAGTTGTTGAAAAACACATAAATGTTTTTTGAAAATATGTGAAGTCCACCAATCCGCAGTGGGGTACGTGGTAGACTATGCCCTGATACCCTCTTTACAGAGGAGACCTTTGCCCAGCAGTGGTACATTTATAGGCTGCTTATTATTTTTATTTACTTTACTTTTTTAATTTAAGAGCCAAACAGCACCTTCTTTTGCATGAATAAGCCATGCCATTTGGAGAAGCAGTACACTCTTAAGGAAGACCGGCCAAAAGAAGAGTATTTATAGTTTTGCGTTCTGACTTTTTTATGTGACAAGTTGTCACGCAAGCAGACGGGATTAACGCCGCCCACGGACATCAATCACTTCATCTAGTCACCACTCTATATGGCCGGCCAATCGCCACTTCAGCTTGCTAATTTTTTGAGCTATGTCCGCTACTTTTGTTCTACTGCGGATGTCTTAGGTTGTAATAATTTTAAACGAAGACGTTCAGATTTCTGTGTTGGCTATGTATTCCGAAGCAAAAATCACTTTTAACATGGAGTTTTGAAAAAAAAATTAGCTTTACGGCGTTTACGTGCTCTAATTCATAAAAGTAGGGGGGAACCCTACTATTACTATGGTACAGCTATTAACCTGAAGCCGTACAAATCGCTCAATCCGACCAAAAAAAAATAAGAAAACTGGTATAGCCCATAAAGTACACCATATTTTTCTTTTACATACAGCTATGTAGTATAATTATATTTTGCTATATAACATAATTATATTCAGCTATGTAATATAATTATATTTTGGTATCAATCAAGTACATTGGTAATTACATTGGTACAATAAACGCTACTTTCCTTAGGATGTTACAAACGGATGCCTACAAACCACGCTTGTATGTATGTCACAACATTCCTTTTGAAAAATATGAATTTGATGTTTATTTTATATTTTGCCTATGATTATACTTGAGCCTAAAATGTTTTAACTTAACTAAAAGAATTTATAAATCAACAACAAGCTCGAATCATGTTAGACATTTGTAGACAAAACAAATTACTTTTAAATTGAAGGTGAATTTGTGTTAAGTGTTTTATAATAAACGAAAATAGGTAGTAAGCCATTGAATATTTATACGGATATGGGTACAATGTGCAATGCTTAGGAATACGTAGAGTTATCTTGGGAATATTGCAAGTAACTTAATTGATTGCGGTTGCTGACACTTCCTTTTAAATGTAGTTAAAGATAATTGGATATAGAAATTGGATTAAAAGCGTGGTATGCTGAAAGGAGGACTCGCACCCTACTTGGTACGACTAGGAGAGGGTATAAACGTGACTATTTAAATGAAACGCACTTCTATTTTAGTTTTAATTCCTGACGTTTCGAACCCTTTCCAGCTTTCATGGGCACGGGACAGACTGGCCTGAGGCGTTGGACGGCTGAATGTCATAATTAACCTGGGTAGGTACCGTCGGTTTTTGCCGTAGATCGAACACAAAAAATAAGTAAATAATAATATTTTTAAGACATTAGAAAAACACTATGTTCATTAAGCAATATTTTTCCAGTAGTGGGGATCGAACCAACACCCTCTGGCGCAGAAGGCAGGTACACTACCCACTACGCCATTCGCGTCATCACACAAAATTAATAATTTATAATTATTTAACCCTTTTTTTATATCAGAAAGTGGGAAACGAGTTGGCTGAACCGCCAGATGTTAAGTGATAACCGCCTGCCCATGGACATTTACAACACCTGTAGGGTTACAGATGCGTTGCTACCTCTTAATAATGTAGGCCCCGGCTAGATCACTCACCAGACGAAACACAGAAGTGCAACACTTCTACTTTACGCCGGTCTTTTGTGAGGTCGTGGTACTAACCCGGACGGACCTGTCCATTCGTGCCACAGTGAACACTTAGGCGTGGCCCTACCACCGTTGAAGTCATTTAATTGTTTTTCTTGGAGTTATTTTAACTAGAGTTTTGTAAAAAAAAAAGTGGATAAACCCAACTGACAGAATTAATGGCATGCCATCTCAATCAAACATGATTTGTTTATAACATTATGTAGAAAATTATCTGCTTGTAATCAAAGATATTTTATTATTATGTTCCTAAATTAAATTCATTAATTCACTACACAAATATGAACTCTATACAGCCCTATACAAGGCTCTCTTACCACACTGTAAATAAAATATCGATAAATTCTATTTAAGCATGAACCCTACCAACTAACTAAAATACAAACAAAGTGAAGTACTGGTAGGCAATTATTGTCTTTAACTCCCAGAGATAAGGACGTTTGTGAGTGCATATTAAGTTCGTGACATCTATTGTCAAGTGACAGTCACTATATATCTTTTCTTGTAAGAGGTTGAAACGAAAAACGTCTCAAGTACATTGTACGTCAATCGTAAATCATATGTCATAACGTCTCGACTTCAAAGTGTATTTTTCAATTAATAGCAATTACCATTTAAGTTTAAATATTTTGAATAGTTATTGCCAATAGCTGCTAATATACATTTGTAGTTCAAAATACGACACAAGCATTACATATGTGAGTTTGGCGACAGCGGGTCCGGTACCAGGGACTATGAAAACCACTTCCACTGTTTTCTATATTCCGTGCGTTGTACTTTTGTCGGTCTTAATAATAATAATAAATATTTTTATTATTTCCAAAGATGCTTTCCAAAATGAACAAAAATATCCTATCAATGAAAAAACAATAGATGGGTCTGAATTTACAACAAAAAAATATAATATACTAGTTAACCCATGCGAAATTTTCGGTCTGTACGGTATCGCGATCAGTCACTGGTAATATAATAAGAAAATAAGTAAATGCAATTCATAAATTAATGGTTTTATGGAATTTCTTTGCACGAATTCACTAAGCTTATTTTGTGATGGGATCCTATTATCTATTAAATATAAATTAGATACATTGAAACTGGGCTAAATGGCTTGATATCTAAGCAATTATTTACTTACTTAAGTCTTGACTGTCACACTTAGTTGTCATTTTGACAGTTGACTTACCCTAAAACATAAAATAGCGAATTGAATATGTGATACAACACAAGCCAATTTATAAAATAAAAAGCCAATTTTCTTACCTTTCATATAGTGGGCTCGTCCCTTTGACAAGATGGACCCGGCACTGCTGCGTGAGCGGGAGGCGTTTAAGAAAAAGGCACTTGCAACGCCAAGGTACACACTACATACTTGTTACTTGACTACTAATTAAAATTTGTTCAGTGACAACAGCTACTTTCACTCTCCTCTCGCTCTCTCTTATTACAGTCCATTGAAGTATGTTTAACCACAATTAACATTGAAATAAGATGAAAATATAGGGATATTTTGTTTGAATGATAACTTTATGTACAATGCTACTAAACAAAACTTTTACTTGTCAACAAATACTTTGTGCTTCAAAATTACATTTCTTCGATTTTTGTTTAATAAAATATTCTTGAATTATAAGTTGTTATCATTATCAGAGCTTTATTGCAAGTTCCCAGAAAATATGATAATTAAAGTAAAATTATTGTGATAGTTCAACAATAAATAAATTTTATTTCTTCAAAATTTTTGGGTAATGAAGACCTATATATTCTATTTTTATAGTATTGCATAATAAAAATGTTCTTAATATGTTATTAAAAACAACAGTACAAGACAAATAAGTAAAACATAAATATTTTCAATGCAAGGTCACATTTCTTTATTTATTCTTTATACACATGTATCTACAAATGCGGATGAAATTCTGTTAACATTATCTCCCAGTCAACCTTGATCAATCATATTATTACTATCAAATCTTTCCCACAGTGTTGAAAAGAAGAAGCGAGATGATTCTCAGTTCAAAGATGAATCTAAAAAGAAATCAAAATCTTCAAGCTCTGTTAGCTCGCAACCAAAACTCGATGCCACAAAGTGAGTATGATTTTATTTTATTTTTATATGTTTGTGTTTCCCAGTTTATTTTTCTAAATATCTGCAGAATATTTATATAATAATGATTCTATTAAAGTAAATAATACAATTAATTAAAATTTTCTATAATTAAAATATTTCATTTGTTTTGTTTATGAAAATTATACATATGTTTGAAAACCTACACCTAAAACCAACTTTCTACCCTTTCAATTTGCTTCCCAGCTATAAAACGATGACTGGGAGTTCCTCCTATCGGTTTGGAGTTCTAGCCCGCATTGTGAGACACATGAGAGCAAGGCATCAAGAAGGTGATGACCATCCGCTGACACTTGATGAAGTCCTTGATGAAACCAATCAGCTAGATGTGGGCACTAAAGTGAAACAGGTCAGCTAAAAATGTGCACTAAATTGAGACATTATAAAGTTGATAAGGTGATTGTGATTTCCCAATATTTAATAATAAAATGAATAAAATATGCTTAGCGCACATTATTATAATTACAAACTCGTTAAACAACTAACAACTTTAATGATGTTTAAGAGCATGGATTGTTCCTCTCCTGTTTTTTTCACATTTACATTTATTTTCTATTAGTTACATGTGTATGCTTTGTTTGCAGTGGCTACAAACGGAAGCTCTACAGAACAATCCAAAAATTGAGTGCACTCCAGATGGTAAATATATTTTCAAGCCAGTATACAAAATAAAGGACAAAAAGTCACTACTTAGGTTTGTTAATTCAAATGAAAAGTAAGTTACTGCATTACTTTAGAATTGTAAAAGATTTTAAAGCAATAGATACACTTTTTTACAGGTTATTAAAACAACACGACTTAAAAGGCCTTGGTGGAATTCTATTGGAAGATGTTCAGGAATCTTTACCACACTGTGAAAGAGCTCTTAAAAACTTAGCACAAGAAATTTTATACATTACTAGGCCTACAGACAAAAAGAAAATATTGTTCTATAATGACAAGACTGCAACTTTAGATGTAAGTTATTTACATACTGCCCTTCAAATTGAGATGATTATTTGTATTGACAACACTAATCTACCTTATAAGTAATTATTTCCTACGTTATGTTTCTTAATAAAATTAAAAACAAACATTTTTAGAACACCCTTACGTATAAAACTGTAACGTAAAGTTCATTTGTAAAGGTCACACAGCATATGAATGGGTTGAATAAATTTGAAAGAGATAAAACATACTGTTAAAAAGAGAGACGCTGCGGCAACAAATGAAAAAGTGTCTGATTGTATGAATCAGTCAGTTGTACTTGTATAGGATGTCACAAATTTTGTTTCTTTTTTATTTAATTAGTTTGTTTGAAAAATATATTTGTTTAACTATGGATTTTTAACGTTATATATTTTTTTATGATTATTGGCAAGTAGCGTTAGATGTGTGTCAATTTATTACGCGGTTGTAACGACACGCTGTATACTAAAGTAAAATGATTCTACAATCTTATGTTTTGTAAACATTTCTAAATACTTTTCTATACAATCACTTTCAGGTAGATGAAGAATTCGTGAAATTATGGCGTGCTACAGCGGTGGATGCAATGGACGACGCAAAAATCGAAGAATATTTAGAAAAGCAGGGCATTAAATCGATGCAGGATCACGGACCCAGGAAACCTCTAGTGCCAAAAAGAAAGAAAGCAGCCCAAAGAAGAAAACAATTTAAAAAGCCTAGGGATAATGAACACTTGGCTGATGTGCTTGAGACATATGAAGATAATACACTAACTCAAAAAGGAGTTTCTATAAAATAAATACATATAAATCAATTATCCTGGCTTACGATTTATTATAGCAACAAATTATCCTACCTATAGAGAGCATCTAAAAAAACAATAGATTCAAAAAGTATTACAAGTCATGAGAAACTTAATAAATCCTTGACAGTTCAGATTTACTATTAGTTTTTCAAGAAGAATTCATATCTTCGTGAGTGACAGTAATCTCTATATAAGTGTATCATCTATGGTAATATCAACGAAATATAAAACTACAGAGAAAATCATGCAGTATTATGAGTCTGTTTTATATTCTGTGTCTACAATTACACGTTATATGTAAATTATATAGATATTATTATAATTATTTTAAAATTGTGTTGTTAAAGGCGACTCGGCGTACCAGATACTAAAATTCCAAGCACTTTGATAGGAATAGATAAAATAACAATACAAACTGACGCGCCATCTTAGCCTTACGCGAGGAGGATGATCTTTTTTGATGATGCGACCATCTTTTAGATCAACAACCTAAAATGTTCGATATAGCTATTATAAAGGAACTTAAAAAATATAGATTAATGTTTACAATCTTTATTGATCTAATATCTACAATATTAAATCTATTACATATTATCTAATAAACCTAATCCACGCGGCATGGTGCCAAGAACGCTAGCTACATTTCCTCGCTGAATAGTTATGCTTAACCTTTGAGCGAGAAAAGAGCCAGTTCTCTTGTCACCAGCCGCGGCGTTAAGCATAGGACATAACTTTTAAAAAGTTTTGATGTGCGGGGACCCCACGGACCTAATGTTTCAACAGCAAATGGCACAAATACATAATCTAAACATAAAGACTCATATTTGCGCCATTTACTTACTTCAGCTGCCTCCGATGCCGCCCCGGCCCTGACCGAAGTACCCCTTAGATGAGAGGCAGCCAAAGTGTCTACACAAGTGGCGGCCCAAACAAGGGCTTTGCCTCTCTTCCAAGGGATCAATGTTAAACCGTCGGGTCTCTTACCATCGTCGCGAAAAATGCCACAGGGCTCTAAAATAGATGGAACATTGATGGAAACAAGAGCCCTACGGATGATGTCGTTCAGGGAACCGTGGCGGGAAAAACGGCCAGCACTTTTTTGACAAGAAAGCCCGTGGAGACCAAATTTGTCTACACTGACACCACAAGGGCATTGGTGTAGTTGACAAACCGGTGCCCCCAGACGGATTCCTACAACAAAGCTTTCATCGTCAAGTAAGGATTATTTAGGTTGATAATTTATAGATTAATTAGGTTTGATTGATTAATGCGGTTGCTTAGCTATACTGTTTGCTCAGTTTAGTAGTTATGGCGTCGTAAGCTTTCGGTATCTCTTGCGCACCCCACGGCGGGTACTTCCGAGACGGACCATCCTATATAAATTTTAGACGATACCAACGACGAATAAACGTTCGCCATAAACAATTTAATTCTCCCGCCACCGCCCTACGAGTCGCCGCACACGAACACAAGCAAGTAGCCACTTTCACTCTCAAACATACACTAGGCACAGCGCATTCGCCGGCTAAAGTGAGGTGACAGCAAATTATTAATACGAGGAAGAGAAAGACACTTTCGACCAATGATGATTTTGTATGCGTACAACATATCTCTGTTATAAAATGTCATTGCCGAAGTAGTTGTCAAATTGTCACAATTGTCACTGTCACTCATTACTATTTGCTTGCTATTTGTCAAAGTTAAAAAGCGCAAGCGTGATAAATAACAAGATTTCAATGGTTGAGTTTCAAAACAAATACAAAAGAACATAACAACATTCTATAAATTACAAGTTCACATCAAAGCTAACATTAAAGTATGGCTAACACTCAGTTCGCTCTTACATCAAAACTGCATGAAAAATATATATGTTCTGGTTTAAGTAATTTGCAACAAGTAAGTGCTCATAAACTTTTAACTTACAATACTGCGTGTGTTTTGTTTAGTTTTATTTTATTTTCGTTAGTAATGTGCTATATTTCATTAGATGTATCTACTGATAATGAAAATTATTTTCTTTTAAAATGTTTTTTACTTATTATACTATGGAACAAAACTGAAATTGTCACAGAGTTACAAGAGTAACATACATATTTATAAAATCTTATCATATGTTTATCATAAGGTATATATACTTATATATAATTTGGTGTACAAACTTTTGTGAATGTTCTCTCAATAGTTTTAGATTTATTATTACAATTGAAATTACTGATTCATCATTGTATTGTGTTACTGTCTTTTAATTAAATTTTCATTCTCTAATAATTGTTAATAGAATGGGGAATTGGTTGACATGACTTTAGCAGCAGATGGACACTTGGTGAAAGTCCATCAAGTGATTCTAGCTCTAGCTAGTCCATACATAAAAGATCTCATCTCTTCAGCGCAATGCCAACATCCAGTAATATTTTTAAATGTAAGTTTTTAAAACATTGATGATATAATTCTTAAGTTATTGAAAGCATTTATTAACTATTATTATTTTTATTAACTATTGAGTTCTTTAAATGATTGGGCTCCATACTGAAGCGCTCATTATCCTTTATTTCAGTGAAATTATTTTAGTTAAAGTAAAATAATTTGGGAAAACACTAGATTAGTGTGAATTATGATCTGATGTTTATTCTTGTATAAAAAGTTCCATTGCCTCGGTTAAATTAAAATGTAAATTTTTTATGTACTTTAAGTATCACATTGTTCTCATTTCAGAAAATATCATACACAACTCTCTCAGCAATGCTAGAATATATTTACACGGGAGAAGTCCTTGTCACTGTTGAAAATTTGGGCGAATTGGTTGAAGCAGGAAAAGAGCTACATATCAAAGGCTTGGAGGATATGGTATGTTTTAAGGAAATGATCTAAAATTATACATCTTTACTATTCATTCATGTATACCTGGCTAACCGAATTTCGCTCAACGTAAGATCTAATGGCAACAATGTAAGATATCACAGGAACACATTGTGAGAAAACAACACTGTGGTTGTTTTCTCACAATGTGTTCCACGCAACAGTGTTCACTGTTGCATGAATGAGCAGGTCCGTCTAGGTAAGTACCATGACCTCACAGAAGACTGGCGTAAAGTTGAAATGTTATAGTGAGTGAGGTAGGCGGCCTGCTTTATTAAAAGGTGGCAATTCGTCTACAACCCTATGTTTTTTGCAAATGTCTATGAGCGGCGGTTATCAACATCAGGTGAACCGCTAGCCCGTTTGCCACATTCCCAAATAAAACACACATCCACATATATATAAATAAACATTTCTTTTTACAAGAAATCGCAGTCTGTTCCAGCACCTGCACACAGAACTGGTCTCGAAAACCTACAGCCCTCAAAGCACGGAGGATGATGCGAAGAAAACGTTGGACGGTGAACTGTTCCTGGAGATGACAAACAGAGAGAGCGACAATCTTGCAGAAGAGACAGTGTATGTTGCTTAATTAAAACATAACGTAACATGCAGCGCATTCTACGACAGAACCTTTGATTAAATTTTTCTAGTGCCAATCTCTGCACTTAAGATGAAACATTATCGTTCGGCTTCTGAAACACTGATCAACGTAGAAGTAATCACTAATCAGCTGTCAAATGAATTTTCAAATGTTAATCAAGTGGCCAAAAGGATTGTTAAACTCTTTGAATTGATCATTCTGATCATTCTAAATAAATTTCAGAAACCGGGCGTAAAATTTGTAGTTAAAATAGTTTAGATCCTTAAACTACCTAACCTTTATTTAGCTCAGTTCTTTAAACTAACTTCTAGTTAGCTTAGTTCTTTAAACTAACCTAAATTTACCTTTAGCTTAGTGGTTAAAGCGTCTGGACGCGAACCAGAAAGACGTGGGTTCGATTCTCGCAGCGACCGAAAAGCTTCCGTCCTTTTCTTCTACAAATTTTAATGTTTCATCTTAAGTGCAGTGATTGGCAATATAAACATTTTAATTTCATATAGCAATGGCGGCACTTCCCGTTCGAATTATCGTAGTAAAAAGATTATCGAAATTATTTATATGCCGCAAAAGATATAAAGACATATACGCCAAGCATTGCTTGAAATTCGGAACAATGGAGATAGACACTTAACATCAGATTAACAAAAAACGCTTGGAAACTTAACACAATAGAAAACTCGTAATGATTGTGAGAGTATAAATGCTGTTCGACAACAGATTCAAACATAAATTGTTCAATGAAACAGAAAAACATTATGATCGTCTGAAGTACGGTTGAGTGGTGGTTGTGTCCTGGGTTCGAAGCTCGACAGCAACTCGACGTAGGACCTTAATCGGCTCTATCCGTTTCAGGTACGACGATAAGCACATGACCAATATTGAAACGACAGAAGCCCGTGGCCAACAGGAGACGCATTCATACGAAGACCCCATGGAAGAGGAAAGCGAGGGACCAATAGAGTGCATAAAGGAGGAAGATACCTTAGGTGGGTTGGAGTGAAAGTCAAAAGTCGAAACACTAACTAAATGTTACATCCCACACCTTTTGATACAAGTTTCCATGCTTTAAAACTTATATCGGGAGGCTCCACTCGTTTATAGTTACGAAAGTGTGTGCCTACGTGCGTATATTTATATTTGTGTGTGGCCACGCAAGTCTTCGCTGTTGCACAGGATGGGCAGGTCCGGGGAAGTACCACGACCTCACAGAAGACCGGCGCGAAGTGGACGTGTTATACTTCTGCGATCTGTCAAGTGAAGTAGCCGGGGCCCAATTTATTAAAAGGTGGCTATGGATCTGCAACCCTACGGGTGTTGCAAATGTCCATGGGCGGCGGTTATCACTTAACATCTGGTGAACCGCCAGATCGTTTGCCGCCTTTTCTCTAAAAATAAAAGTGTTTCGTTTTCCAAAGGGTAAAACCGGACCCTATTACTAAGACTCCGCTGTCCGTCTGTCCGTCTGTCATCAGGATATATGTAATGAACCGTATAATAAGTAGATGATGTATTCCTGTTGCCGCTATAACATAAAATATTAAGAAATGGAATACAAAAATAACTTTAGTGGGGCTCCCATACAAAAGACACAATTTTTATTGCCGTTTTTATAGGTACGGAACCCTCGCCCTCGCCCGACTCGCAGTTGGTCGGTTTTTATTAAAATGTATTTAAATGTCCATCTTAATCCAGATGAGCACCTCAGCGAAAGTTTGCAACGAGTGGGCGCCTCCAAAGTGAAACTGAGCACAGCCGACAAGAAAAACGCGGGTATGTGTTCCTCTAATGCACTCCTAATCGACAACTAAACAAGCTTCCTTTCCGCTTATAACATATCCCACTGCTGGGCAACGGCCTCGTCTATACATGGGGTATCAGGGACTTCACGTACCTTCGGAATATCTTTTCCTTGACCGCTGAGCACGTAATAAGTCAGCACTTTCAATATATGGCGAATAAAGAAAAATAAGCAAACGCAGAATAGAATAGAGAACAGAGAATAGTAAGCAGGCAATGAAATTTATTCAAGAAATCTAGAATAAATAAATAATAATTAAATCTATCTAATGGTAATGTATGTAACACGTTGTCCTGTGGCATGTAATACGTTGTATGCGTGGCATGTAAACCAATGTAACACGTTGTCCTATGCAACACTGGGAGCATGCGCTGATGCGATAGAGTATTATTATTATTTTTAAAATAGCAGAAAGATGTTGTTTAAACTTAAGTCCGAGCCAATTTTAAAAGTTAAAAATGACCGAAAAATATGATTCTGCGAAATAAATTGTCTAGTGTTTGAAACGAACTTAGCGACTGTTAATAAACTGCGAGGCACGCGGCGGCTTCTACTGAAGTATCAACAGGCCGATCAGATAGTTTAGTAGAATTATCTGGAAGTTTGCATTTCGTTCCTCAAGAAAGATAACCGATAAAGTGATCCACTCTTTTAAAAGCTTAAGACGTATGTGATCCCAACTGGTTGGTTTCAAATATGTATGAGCGTATATGGTCAGCGACTAATGTAGAGCCCACCAAACATCTAGAGCCACGCCTTTCCACAGGTTCAAATTTTATACTACATTATTCGTTACAATTCGCAGGTGAATCGTTTAAACAAAAACTGTTAAACCCGGTGGCGGTATAAAAATATTGGAAGCCTGTATTTTGGCGCCGTAAATCCGCCATTTTGCCTGTTTATTATATCAACATTCCCAATGACACTCACGCTATTAAGACGATATAGCTTTCATGAAATTCGGCTTGGTCATGCTTTTCCACTGTTTCTGCGACGATAAAACTATACAGGGAAGCTTTTCTAAGTGTATCCATTTTTTTTAATTAAATTCTAGACATTAATAATATTATATAAAAAATGATAAATATTTTAAATCACTTCTAAGTAACTAATTACATTCATTTGAACTTATATAAAAAAATGCGTGATTTATTCGCAACTCATATATTTTACGCGCGTTCATTCATAACTAACACGCACATAGTTCGTTTGTGTGAGTGAACAGTAAAATTTAGGTATTTATGAATGACTACCGCGTTGTCAACAAGTTATGTTTTTTAGGGAATAGAATGGGATTTTTTTTGAAAACAAAAAAGGTTTATTTTTATTTAAATAAAAGATTATACTACCGAGTTTAAACCTTCTGTGTAAATTTGGGCACCTTTAAAAAAGTCTCCCTAAAAGTTGTGGTATGAAAAAACTTGCAAAAATTTGGGCGCCAAAAATCCGCCACTTAATTTCAATATGCTTACGCAATAAAATGAATCTAACGACATAGCATACATCAAAATCTGCCCAGCCGTTTAGTAGTTGAATCGGAATTATTCTGGTCAAAGACAGCCCATTGACACACCTTTGTCGCTTCGCCGCAGTCTGGTGGAAAGACGATGCGCCACTTACGCCTCCGGTCTTCTACAGAGGGCACCTTGCAGTATACCGTGTCCAACCAGGGCTCCCTCCAGATGATCCTCAACCGCTACATGTACTACCTGAAGTACACCAACCGGAACCGCTCGAAGCAGTGGCGGTGCGTCGACTACTTGAAGAGCGCCAGGTGCCCTGCCCATGTGGTCACCAGGGATGATGTCGTCATCCAAAGGTCACTCACGGTGCAACACATCTTCTTTTCTTCTTTATTTAATAGGCACTTTATACAGGGAGGCTTTTTAAAGGTGCCCAAATTTACACAGGAGGTTCAGACTCGGTAGTGTAATTGTTTATTGAAATAAAAATAAACTTTTTTTTCTTTCAAAAAAATTACCATTCTTTTTCCTAAAAAACAGAACTTGTCGAGTCTGAACCTCCTGTGTGAATTTGGGCACCTTTAGAAAAGCCACCATGTATGTATAATACATTGCACCCGTGCGAAGCCGGCGCGGGTCGCTAGTTATGCATGTAATCTAAAAATGTACATTTAAAGCAGCAAATCTGCAACTTGACTGTTCCACGCCGAAATTCTCGGTCTACCCTCAAGCGAGAAGGGGAACCACTTCCCCCATTTCACTTCTCCCCTCTCCAAACCGCTGTTCGACAACAGGACCGCGGCTCACACGCACCCGTTCCACGACCAGCGGATCCTGAAGAAGGTGAGGGCGGGCGCGGTGTTCTCCGCGATAGTGGAGGCGGAGAAGGAAGGGGAGAACATCATAAAGGGCAGGGGAGCGGAGTCGGGAGTGCAGAGCGAATGATACGGGCTGCGGACGCTTTGACTGACCCGTTTCACTTTCCCCGAAGGCTTGAAAGGGGGGCCGATAGAGCGAATCGGACGCAGCTCTCGGCCGGTGGCGCCCTCTACAGGCGCAGACCTCCCGGATTGTAACGACCGTTGTGTCCAATAGTGATTTGTTCAAATAACCGATTAAGCTGTACGACTTTGTATAAATACAATAATTCTAGATTAGAAAACGAGTCTCCAATAAGTTTTTATTTTTGACTTTTATTTATTGCGCACATATTCTCAGATTTATTTTCTTTATTTATGTAAAAATTTGTCAAGCGAGCAGTCGGTTCACCTTATGTTATGTGACTACCGCCGCCCGTGAGTACGTAGGACACCTAGTGGGCTTCAAATGCGTTGGCAACCAATATGAAAGGGCGGGACCCCTTATATATGTTATCGCACTCAACAGACGAAACGCAAAAGTTACTGCCACTTCTCACCGGTTTTCTGGGAGCCCGCGGTACGGTCAATCAAACGATAGATAAAGCCGCTGGCCTACGACAGTATTTATAAAAATTTAGGCCCTGATGTTGTCTTTAGTCGCAGAGTGCGGCCATCAAAGGTTCCTCTCTAAAAACTAAATTTAAATAAACTTACGAATAATAAGTTAATGATTATTTTTAAGAGCAATCATGACATCGTTATATGTTATCTGTACGGTGTTTCGTACTCTATGATTAAGAAGACTAGATGCTAGCCATAGATTGCAAAAAAAAAGCAAAGATTTTCGCGCCATTAGGTATCCGTCAATTACCAGGAAGACGCAGGTTCCGTACATTTTGTCCAAAGATTCACATTTCAAAAACACGCTAAATTAAATCCTTTCAAACCGGGATGTATTAGAATGAATATTCGCATGTAAATACGATTATTCGTAATATAAATTTATAATAAAATTTTTTTTAGGTCACATTTGTACACAACATTTTCTAGTCCCAAACTAAGCAAAGCTTGTACTATGGGTACTAGAAAACTGATAAACATACTTTAAAATACTTTTCTTTTCTAAATAAATACATATACATATAGAAACACCCAGACACTAATAAGAAAAACACCATGTTCATCACACAATATTTTTCCAGTAGTGGGGATCGAACCCACACCCTCGGCGCAGGAGGCAGGTACACTACCAACTACGCCATTCGGGTCGTCATAAAATAGTAATAAATAATAAACACGCCATACAGTGTACAAGAGAGTACAAAGAAGTAATAAAAGTGCTTTTTATTTTTATTACATGATCGTAATAAAAATTTCGACGTTTCTCCTCGCCGCAGCAAATGGGTCGTAAGATTTTATATCTTTGAATAAAGAAACACTTCTTTATCAGACTTGGTTTGTATTTTAAGGATAAGGTACTCGCAGTTAACTTTTTACGAAGTTAGAAAAATGATGTTCAAAGCAGTCGACTTAAACAAAATTAACTGTGAATTATAAAAGTATTTTTATTGAGCTTGACAAGGCCTTAGGTCATAGGGAGAGTTATCAATGACAACGTTTTATTGATAACTCTTCCTGTGACCTAAGGGTGAAAGCAGCAACGATAAGAACGTGTGATATTGTGACGTTTGTGACGTTCCAAAAAACAATGATAATCTATTTATGTAGTCGTAGACATTATACATAGAGATAGTGCTTTGACTATATAGACCCTTGCGATAGAACTGTCTTTTAACGGAGACCCATATATGCGTTATACCTACCATTAGCGATGATTTCGTTACGAAAAAAAGCAGAATCCCCAGGCATCTTAAAATAACCCATTTTGATGTTTTAATTATTGATTAAAGTTTCGTGGTCATCGAAGCTAAAGAGTAATAAATTAATAAGTAAATATAAAAGAATAACAGACAAGCTCTTATTAACGGTGGCAGAGCCACGCAACTGTATGTGCTGATGCACGAATGGACAGGTCCGGTCTGAGTAATAATAATGATGTATTATATTTCTCCTCGCAATACATGACAAGACAATATCATGGTTGGTACAGCTCCAGTAAAAAATTTAATCAAGTAATTTTTCGGAGCTGGTGTCTTTTTTTTATGCGAAAAGTTGCCAAGCGAGCAGGCGGTTGTTCAGCTCGTTTGCCATCTAATCATGTAAAAAAATCTGTCTCAGTCTAAGGTTCATTGCCGGTGCTTTAAAACAGCTCGAGGTTGATCGGAATGGTTGAAAATTGTTAAGAAACATTAAAATTAAGAAATAAAAAAAAAATCCGCACCGGGCGCATTGGGGAAGCGAGAGTACTTTTAGAACCAGTAATTTAATTTTTTTTTTATGGAAAAAAGGGGCAAACGACCTGAGATCTGATGGAGGGCTTGTAAATACGTTGCCGTCCTTTAGGAAAGAATACGCTCACTTCTTGAAGGTTACCAGTTAGCAACGGTTCGGAAACAGCCGGCCGACATCGGTGGTGTGGACGGAATTTTTAGTTAAAATATTTACAAGTCTTTTCTTTTTTTTATAGTTACGATATTACAAGTTACGCCATTGCCCGCGATAGATACCAGGTTCCCAGTAATTACACTACGTTAGACAATTTACCTGAATGTATTCAACAAAAATATCGTCATTATAAAAGACTAGAAATAGACAGCGATGCTATGGGAATAAATATTTATGGACGCACGTGATGAGTTGTCGCGACTTTAGATCATAGAATAAACATAACTTGTGTATTAGGTATTTAAAAATTATGGAAAACACCGTGTTTCACATAGAGCGTACAGCACGTCCTAAAGGTTTGAACATGTCAACAGAGGGTCGTTGGCTGAGCGTGCTGCAACTTGCGTTGGTTGTGATATACATATAAACCCAATATTAATAATTTGTACAGCTAGATCTACACAGATAAATAGGGTAAGTATGATAATCAATAAGACGATGTTAATAAAATAAAATTTATTGTCCCCACTTTTAACATTATATTAAAATATATAAAAACATCATACAAAAATATGTATCTTTAACTGAGCGATTCTTGAAGGCACAACATAATTGATATATTTCGAGATTTCTCAATTCACTTACGCTATATTATAAATGTATAAAAAAAATAACTCTACAAAAATACTGTAGAGTTTGGAATGAAGTGGAATGTAAAATAAATTCATTAATTCTGAGTATTCTCCGTGTAGATTCCCCTAATGCTAATATTCATCTCATTCAGATTATAGATATTCATTCTTTATGATATGAATAAAAGCAGCAAAATAATCATTTTTCAACTTCACAGTTTCAGTTCATAGTATACTCAAGCTAAGTAAAATTCAACTAAGAGCGAGTCAGCAAAATTAACTAAGAGACAAATTGCTTCATAATCGGTCATCTTCATTATAATGTTTCTTAACAACAATTGTAGTAAATATCTCATATTAATTTCAGATTTGTTTTACTTCAAATTGAGGATTTCATTCTGAGTATTTTGAAACTGAAGTATCAATATCATCATATTGAGTCTTATTTGATGTAAAAAAATTTAACAGTCATTTATAAATACATTAAGGGGTAATATTCGAACTATTCCAGGAACATTACCATTATTGCTATGTGATATATTTGTTAATATAAATCTTCAATATACATATTTTATGCCCACAAATATGTTTTTCTAATAATATAAAAAATTGGCAGTATTATTCATCAGCGCAGTACAGGTCAAGGATTAAATACACTTTAAGTACGGGTCACATCACACGTGAGGACTTAGGCCAGTTGGTCTCTTATAAAAGTGGGCAGCGTGAAGGCTGCCTTGTGTATGTCACTATTGTAATATCGGAGGCTCATCGCCCGCTCCTCCTCGCGGGTGAACTTGATCTGTGGGCTGCCAAACTTGACTTCTGGGTCCAGCGAGCCTATCACGAACCCTATCAGGCCCGAGGGGTATGTCGCGACCGACGTGTAAGCGTAGGCGCCCACCGGGAACTGGTTGCGGCAATACTTCAGGGTGTTGGTGACCAGTTCCATATCGTTCCAGAAGGTTCCCGCTTGTGAGCAGACAATACCGTTCGGTTTGAGCGCGCTCCTCATCAGAGCGAAGTAGCTCTCTTGGAATAGGCTCACCGCTGGCCCAATAGGATCGCTGCTGTCCGTTATTATCACGTCGAACTGCCCGCTGTGGTTCTTCATGAACTCGAAGCCGTCGCCTATGTGCAGAGTGAGCTTTTCGCTCTCGAAACCCACCGCCATGAAGGGTAGGTACTTTTTTGACACCTCCACTACTCTCGCATCGATCTCAACCTGAAAATTCATGAAGCAGATAGCTGATGTAATAAGGAGTAACTGAGGCTACTTTTATTTTAGATTTTTTTTTTTAATTCCAGGTGGACGAATTTAGCGGCCACAGCTAGTTATTAATAAATATAACATATCATAGAGGAGCAGTTACTGTAATATCATCACATAAACATCAGTTTGTAACATACATTTATTTTTATGTTATCTATCACAAGACTGAGACAATATTTGGGGACAATTTTTGTTTACCAAAGTTATTAAAAACAGATGATGTGTAACTTATCTTAATGGCTGCATTATTCATTTACAAATAGCTAATTTCATGTGGATATTTACAGAAATCATAGAAACAATTACACAAATTTTGTTCAGCCTTGAAGATTACAGCACATGTTTTCTGCCAGGAGGCTTGTGTAAACCATAGTTGAAAAATTATTTTCTTTTCATTTGTTTGGTTTGCTTATATAAAACTTGGTATTTTTAGCTCTAGTAAACTGTAATTTATACCTCTTAACTTTCATCTCTAAAGTATTCAAGCGCTAATAATATTCATTTTTAGTCTTTTCAGATCTTTATTTTATTTTATCTTTTAGATATTGTATAGATGTTGGTCATTCTAACAATGGATTGAAAATATTACCTGAACAATTTCTTTGACTTTTGGATGCTTGGCCACCTCCCTGGCAACACCACCATCGCCCCCACCAACAATCAGAACTTTCTCGGGGTTTTTGTGACTACATAATGGTAGGAAGGATAACATTTCCTATTAAGAAAAAATGATAAAAAGCAATAATGCAGATCATATGGTAAATTATTTCCTTTTAATAAAACATTAGTTTCCAATATTTACAATAATGTATTACACTTAATGTAACTTTTAGTATTTTTTACCTCAATGTTTAAAAACAAAAACTGATAAAGAGGTCATTTGATTCCTTCAGGAAGTTATAGGGCAAGGACTCAAAACTGATAACAACCACAAAATAATAGGAATTATGACAATTAGTAACATTGTCTAAATTATTAACCAAAAAACAATTGTAATTAAAATTGAACATATTGAAATTAGAGTTATTAAACTTTTTTCTGTTATATTCCAGACTATAAAGTAAAAAGTATGTATGGTAAAAATCTGCTCCACCAATCTCAAAGTTTGATTGATTCTTAATTCTGTTTGAACAAGTGAATGAAGAAAAGAAATACACTATACCTGGTAGGAAAATTCATCTTTTTGTGTACATTGTATAATGCCATCCAACAGCAAAACTCTGCCAAAACTTGTGGTATCACAGACAACTATATCCTGATACTGTGATTTCTCTTGGTGCAGAATTTCCTTCACCTCAAACGAGAAAGTGCCTCCTGGCCACATATCACATGACTCTGTGTACCAATTCTTCTTTAGTACATCCATTTCAGAATCAGTCTGTAATTATATGAATTAACATTGAAGAGAATCAAAATAAGGAATTGACACCTCAAGTTGATATTAAAAAACGTTGATAAGCAGTTTCTCGACAATTAACTTAAATATATATTATACTCATATTCACAATCAAATAATATTAATTTCGAAACACTTCGAAAATGAATTTTATTTACTTAATTTAATAATAAGCAAACGCAACAGATTTTTGAATAAAATAAAAAAAACATTAGCAAGCATTTTTTTAAGTATGTTTATCTATCATTTTAAGTTACAAAATAGTATTTAACTCACCAATCAATTTTATAAAAGAAAACGCAAGCAATTTAGATGTATATTAGTCACACGTGTACCTAACCCTTTAACAATATTATTGAACTGAATCAAATTTAAAATTTCTAAGATTCTCTTTAGGTATACAAAATAGAATAAACTTATTTCATCAACCGTAGCATAGAGACAAACTCTGCTGTTGTTTCTTATCGCCGTTTGGCTCTAATCAATGTTATCTACTAGGGAAGTTTGAGTTTATTATTAATTGTTATTTGTTGTTATGGTGACTGATTGTGACTTGTGTACCCTCAGTGTTGCCAACTACTAAAAAAATGGCCCTAAAATCAGGATGAAAATACCCCTAAACTAGCAAAAAGCTGAGCTTTGTGATATGGAGGGTAGAATAAAGGAGGACCGTCTCGTATGGGGGATTAGTCGAAAAAGTGTCCACTTGTAAACAGTAAATTATTGTTCGAACTCTCACCGAAATAGCGCTAGTGTAGCAAGTGGAAATGATACAGCTGAGAGTGAAGTGTGCTGGGTTGAAAAATTTTATATTTCTCTTGACTTCTATAGTTTTAATTTAATTTTTTTGTTTATTTCATTTTATTCCATACACATTTTTGTCTATAAAGCGTGTCGTTACCACCGCGACAATAAATGAACACACATATACCAAATAATAACCGAGTTATTAAATTTTCCTAATGTCACAGGATTAACATAAGTACTGAACAATGTTTGATAAATTAAAAAATATCTAAAACGATTGGTCGTATTAATGCCCGAAGCTCATATCAGAAATAATATTTTTAAAAAACTGTTTTAAAAATTATTACCATTTAGAAAAATTACGCGAGCCCTCACAAAGTATGGAGGGTAGAATAAAGGAGGACCATCTCAGTGTATTAAAAAGTGTCCGTTGAAAGGGAGCAAATTAAGGTGGCGCTGTAGTAGCAAATGGAAGAATTTTAAAAAGAGCGCCACAAATTATTAGAGTAGCATACTAAATTAAAAAAGGAAAGAAACATTTCCGCTTTGTTACAGCGCAATTTTTTAAATTTTATTGTAATGTATAGACAAAAATGAGTATGGAATAAAATTAAATAAACAAAAAAATTAAATTAAAACTACAGAAGTCAAGAGAAATATTAAATTTTTCAACCCAGCACACTTCACTCTGCTTATAACTGCTAAGTTCATATCATTTCCACTTGCTACACTAGCGCTATTTCGGTGAGAGTTCGAACAATAATTTGCTGTTTACAAGTGGACACTTTTTCGACTAATCCCCCATACGAGACGGTCCTCCTTTATTCTACCCTCCATCTTTCACTTTGAAAATTAAATTATCATTTTCTGGATGCAAATTGATGATTTAGCAATTATATTCAATCAAATTGACCACCTTTAAGTCAATATACTTTTTTTTTTTGTTAACCTGGAACAAATGCCTACGCTTACCTGCGGGCCATAGCGGGTTATGTCGGCCTATCACCGACTAAAACCCCAACGATGTTCCACGTAGGCACGTATCGGCAGTAGGAAGGCGCACTGGAAAATTCAGTGCGCCTTCCTACGCGGCTGCCAGGGGAGCCAGTGCTAATAAGCAGCAAGCCTCCCAGCCAATACCGACACTCCTCTTCCCCCGCAACCCCTCCTCGGTAGCAGAATACAGGGAGAGTGGTTTCTCCTCCACCGCCCTGCACCCTCCAGCACGCATCAAGAGTGGGCTCAATGAGCCCACTCGGAGCGACCCTCTCGGGCCGGTCTTACACCAGGCGTGCTGGAGGGTGCAGGGGACAGGTCGAGGGTGGTGGAGGAGGAACCACTCAGCATTCTCCCTGTATTCTGCAAACGAGGAGGGGTTGCGGGGGAAGAGGAGTGTCGGTATTGCGGTGTGCCATTCTCCCTACCCTCTGCGGCCGAAATGTGGTGAGCGGCGGAGCCACAGACCATGCCCACCGCTGGGGGCAGGGAGGCTTGGTGCTTATTAGCACTGGCTCCCCTGGCTTCCATGGCCCCGGTCAGCGAACTCAAGATAGTTCGCTGGCCGTGAAAAATGGGGCCGAGTAGGAAGGCGCGCTGAATGTCCCAGCGCCAGTATAGGAGAAGGGAGTTACTCCCCGGGTGGACTGCTGAGGCGGCCAGCGCTGGCAGGGTCGTGGAAGTGTGCGAAAGCGTTCCCGTGACCCTGTCGATATGCGCCTAGTTGGAACATCGTAGGGATTTTAGTAAGTGCTCAAAAAAAAGGCTACTACGCTGACCAAGCCACGGCAACTAAGCCCTTCCGCCACGGCAAGGCAGGAACTCGGTCGAAGGGGTTAAATCAATAAACTGTAATGACCTGGTGAGCTTGAGCAATTAATTGTTCTTAAAGAAATGTTAACTTTTTTAAAACATCAGATGGTGGTCCAGGATCGGAATTTTCAATAGAAAATATTTTCAACTCATTTTTAAGTAGATTAACTACGATGTATTTGAGTATTGAGTTTAGTTCTGTTGCATCGATCGATGTTAACTCTTTGGTGTTCTAACTGACGGCGTTAGTAGTACAATAAAATTGTTAATGTTCATGTTTGGTTCATGGTTATGAATTATGAAATTGCATTTTTTTTTACAGACAACACATCTAGATATGAAGTTAAATTACTATGTTAAAGCACAAATCTATAGGCGTGATAGTTTTTCCGTAAAGTGTACCACAAAAATGCTCAGGTTGTGGGATAGTGTTAGGTCTCGCTTCACTCACCCTAAAAATCCAATTTTCGTGATATAAATATGTATTTTTAGGTGCTCACTAATAGTCATTTCAAAACATGTTCAAAAAATGTCAACCTTAGTTTTGTTGCAGTTGCCGATAATTAACTCTTTAGTTTTCTAACAGATGGCGTTAGTAGTACAATAACATTGTGTCCAATAAATATAAAAAAAACAATTTACATTTTTTTGGCAGATAACATATCTAGATATGAAGTTAAATTACTGTGTTAAGGCACAAATCTATGTACCTGATAGTTTTTCCGTAAAGTGTACCACAAACGTGCTTAGATTGTCGAATAGTGTTAGGACTCGCTTCGCTCGCCCTAATTACCTTCAAAAGCCCTGTATGGTATTCAAACATAGTGCTTAAATGAGACTTTTTAAGTTATATATAATATAGTTTAATAACTTTTCATTACAAATTGTTGAAATAATTAACAAAACAACCACAACAGTAACTAAGCTTTAATTAATTACATTCATTATAGACATTTAGTGATGCATGAAATATTATTCATAGCCCTAAACTTTTTTGTACCCAAAAAAGTCCATTAAGCATATTTTAGTGTTTTATTACCTGGGTTATTTTGCCAATCATTCCAAATAGTTGAGTTGATAGTGATATTTCAGGTCAAATTTTTTTACAAACAACTGCTTGCTCGAAAAGGCTAAATTAACTTTGGATTTAATAGTAAACTAAATTGAATAATAGATACTTGTATTCATGGAATAGAGAAAATTTGTTCTCTTTATTCCGTGGTGGAACCGATCCCGACGAAGGAATATGGATGATATTGCGATTTAATCATGAAATATAATTCCGTCGTGTTGAATTATTTACGACCCAAGATTTAAGAAAATAATCTTCAAAGTTAAAAGATTAGTACTTATATAATTGCTATTAAATAACACGTCGTAGCAATTCAAAAGCGCTTGGCATATGGAGTTCGAGGGCCCCGCGTTTATCGGGGATATGCGCCTAAAGCAAAGTGAAAGAATATAACCACTAACATTGTAACAGACATGTTTTGTACAGATGAGCTTTGTGCCTTAATGCTATTTTACTAGAAAGATAATAAGTGTTCGAGTGTCCGGCTCTAAAGCCGAACTGCTCGACGGAGTTTTTTCTCAATTACAATAATAAATGTAACAGATTAAAACATTCAATCCATTTACGTACAGCAGATTTATTATTATTAAATTGTGTAAACTACTTAAACTTAACTCATAAAGTGCAAATAAATACATTAACATCGAAATGAGTCTTGGATTATATTAAAATATCATGATTTCGTATTCCGAAACGATATCTATGTGTCACGTACTCGCGTAGATCTGTCATTCTGTCATCTTGACGTTATGTTTGATAGCTGACTGAAAAAAACATTGTTTTTGTTTGTTTGCTAGATATTTTTTTGTCTATTACAATTTTAATGTGGATAATTGAATATGTTAAAATTGAGAATTTTAAGAACAACTTAAAATTGGCAATGTGTTAACTCACAAAGCATTAAAGCCATTAATAAAAATAAGAAGTTTGTTTTTTAAAATTATAGACATTAAATAAGTAGAAGTTTTAGATAATTAAAATTAAACCGCCTAAAAAGAAAGATGGAGCAGTATTTTTAGATCTCGATTTCAAAAACAATTTCATAAAAGTAATGATTTTCTTTTAAAGAAGATAGTATTTGTACTTTAATTATACACTTGACAAGTATATAATCAAAGTACATATTTATATTTCATTTTAAACAAAATGGATATCCATTCTATTAGTGCTGAAGAATTTTTAGATTCAATTAAACGTTTCCAAGAAGTATCAAATAATATCAATGATGGTTGGCGAATTTATGAAAATAAAAATGAAATACACAAATCTTATATTAAGAAGGACACTTTTATCAACTGTGTAATTCAAGATCATGGAACTTTATGCAAAATGGAATGTGTTATATTTTTTAATTTGAGTTATGGAGTTCCTTCATTTAGTTTTAATATTTGGAATTCTTCGGGGGTCTTATTGAAATTAGAAGATATAAGGCGATTATCATTCATTCAGTATGTCTAATATAATATGATTTTAAATAATACCCCAACTTATATGATCCTTGGCTTCTTGCACCCAATTATTTCTAAGCACCTTATGAAGATAATTGACGAGCGACAATAATAATATACCTTTAATTTTTTATTATTTATATATTAAATACCACTTACATAGGCAGCATGAATAAAATTGCAGTTCATTATTACTTAATATTATTATATTTAAATTTTTTGTATAGTGAGCACCACAACAAATATTTTTTTTATATTGTATTGAAAAAGTCAACAATTAAGTCAACAATTTTTGGATTTGCTTTACAGTGTTTCTCAAAAAATAATGAAACATATTGTTTCAGCATAAAAGAAGATGAATTTTCCTCCGTGATCACTCAACAAGAACATCCTTTATTCGGCAGGCCCTATTTCATCATGCACCCTTGCCGTACAGGGCAGCTGGTGGAACATTTTAGACACAAATCAAAAAATATTATAGTAACTTTTCTAAGCTTGATTACACCGATACTGCAACTAAAATTGCCAATGGAATATGGTCTGTAAGCTTGCAATGAAATAATTAATGAAATCATATTGTTAAGTAAATTTTTTTATAGCAATTGTTAAAAATATATTATTGTTATTGCACAAAATGTGTATATTATTAATATAAAAAATAACTATCTGTGTCTTTTAATGTGTTGTATATTTGCTATAAAATATTCCCTCAGCTCCAGAAACTTGTCCTTTATTAAGTAAGGGAATATTTTATAATGCAACAAGATGATCTGTTATTAAATGCTCTTAGTCACAATATAATCCTCTTTGGTCCCCTTATCTTAAACTGAGGAAAACATTAGCTAATTTTGTAGCCAGCAACTACATGTTACAGCTTGGTTAGAAAATACCCGCGATTTAAAAAAAAAAGTATATATTCCGAATTAAGGCTTTTGACTGAGGCTAATTTAGATAAAAATTTAGAAAACAACTTTTAATCTATTGCAACGCGAATTCGCTTGTAGTAGAACTAAATCGAATATAAGTAACTAAAAATATAAATAATTTCAATAAATAATGAATCATTATCAACTACTACTACTTTGTGCTTCAGAGGCTAAATGCTATCAAGGGACATTTTCCGTCAAGAGCTTGGTTTTACAAGCTAGATATCCTGTATGCTGTAGATCAAGGGTGAGCAACCTTTTTAATCAATGGCCCAATTTAAAGTTAAAATTTTTTTTGGCGGGCCGCACATAGACATTTACGAAACTTTATTTATAATAAATATTAGAATAATAAAATATAAAATTAAAAAAGTAAAGATTTCATATACAAATTTAATGCAAGGTAAAAACAAACAAGAAAAGAATAGAAAAACGAACAAAAAAAAATTTCGGTTCAGTATGTACTACCATTTTATTATAATTAATTTCATAACAATATATTGATGGAAGAAATTCGATAAAATTAATTCAATTTTAGAAATGCTTGGCGGGCCGCATAAACATGTTTAATGGGCCGCAAGCGGCCCGCGGGCCGTGCGTTGCTCATCCTTGCTGTAGATTGATGTAAGCTAGTGCTCCGAAGACAAATAGAATGCTTTGCAAAAGGTTGTTTTGAGGAAATCATACCTTATAGTGGAGGCTTTGTTATGTTTTGGATAAGAATAATCAGTCGGATCGTGCCGGAAGTCTACATCGAAAACTACACACTGACTAGACAAGGGCGCATAACGGAAGTTCTAATTACACACACAGAACCTGCAGTGATGGCTTTTGTTGAAAACTCAATTTTTTGAATAATAACGCTAGCACTCGTGATGGAGACAAAAAAAAACATTGCACTTACTTTAGAGTAACATTACCCTGTGTTGTAAGGATATTTTACAAACATAAATTTCACGCGAAACAACTATCTGTGGGTCACACAAATAGTTGTCCCTTGTGGGAATCGAACTCACGATCCCCGACGCCGACATCATGAAGTTAGCTGGAGGTCGGGATTCATCGTTTGGACAGGACATTCCGAAGAGACGAGTGACATCAATGAAGCCAGCTAGAGATATTAGAGAGCTTAAGAATGTGGCAATTAAAGATGGGGAACATATTCCACAAGAAACTATTATTATTAGGGATATATCAAATACTTGCTAGGGTACCCAGACAAAAGGAATTAATGATTTCAGCAAAAGGAGGTCACACTCCGAACTAAACCTTTATCTGCCTTTACTGATGAAACAAATAAAACGTCTTCTCACCTTCGGATCAGGAATGGTTTTGAACTTAGAAATAATTCCTCAGTAAGTAAATCAGTATTATAAAAATTGATAGCCGTGATACATTTACTCGAGCAACCTGAGTTCGATCCCCGGTGCCAGCATCAAAGGAATTGTTAATTTTAAGTGTCGACTTTTCACGTGCTCAGCGATGATGGAAAACATCGTAAGGAAATCTGCATGTTGTCGTAATAATAACAAAAAAATAAATATTTCAAAAATATGGAAAGTCCAACAATCCGCAGTGGGTCGCGTGGTGAATCCTGTTTACTGAGAAGGCTTTTGCCCAGCAGCGGGACTTTTATAGACTTTACTTTTTATACTTTTCTGTAAAAATTGGCGGCAACCGTTCTTCGCTTCTTAATTTACAAAATTTATAAGGATAAGACTATGAAGTTATCAAAGTATCAGCAGAGGCTGCTGTTGCACAAATCGCTTTTCTTTCCAATTTTTTTTTGTTACAACTGTGCAGAAATCATATTCTTTGCGATCTGAAAGAATAAAAAAAGGATGTCATAAAAAATAAATAGTATATTATATAATTATCATTTATATTATATATAATTACTTTAATAATTCCAAAATCAGGACGATAAAAGATATTTAAATACGTCAATAAGTTCATTCGGTTATTTTTCAGTGTTTTCTCGGGATTTATGAAAGTAAAGAACAAAAATATTTATCATTAAATAGTAGTTATCCTACTGATGGACTAAACTTCTTGTATCTTGTATTAACTGATGTTTTTGCTTTCAGTCCCGAGACTATTAAAGCTTCATCTGACGCAGAACCGGTGGGCTAGCCAGAACCCACGGGTTTGGGCCCTCCGCTGTGGGTAGGGCCGCGCATGTGCTCATGCGTGCGTATGTCATCTAAGGGCCATCGAGTTTGCGGTTCGGACCGGGACCCCGATGGCCGTTCACTGTGTTTTTAGCTAATCGGTGGCTGGATGCGGTGAGAACCGCCGTGGAACGCGGGTGTACCTCGTGTACGCGTAGTGTTGGTCTCGCCGTGCGGCGAGGGCGAACTATCGTGTTTGTTGTTACACTAGCTGTGGGTGTAGAGTTATTCGGCGGGACCCCGGTAGGGTGCGTGTGCACGAAGGTCATACATGCGTAGGACATAATAGGTCGTACGCAGGTCTTATATAATAATAATTTGTGTCTTAAGGACATTTTACTTTTAGCGTTAGTTAAATTGTGTAGCCGGCCCGAGACGAACGCGACTCTATTACGAACATTATTAATGTGCGTAGAAAATGACATACGCGAGTCGAAAGTGACTTCTAACTATTTTTTCTCCCAGGGGAGCGGTTGGCCATAAAGGGATATTTGCCCCAACTTTCTGCATTAGCGAGGGCCTTTATAAAGATGTGACGAGTAAATACTTCGTGAGAAGTGAATCCCCACACTCTTTACGGGATTTACTTTAATTTAATTGTCCATTTGCGGAACCAATTGCCGAGGCGGTTGGCGGCGCTTTGGAGAGGAGTAGTGAATTGATTGAGTTTTTTATCTGTGTAAAAGAGCGCCGTGTCATCCGCGAAAAGCGCGAGATTGACGTGGGGGTCTTTGGGTATGTCGATGAGAGGCAGGAACCTTGTGGAACGCCAGCCTTGAGGCGGCGGCATGTGGAGAGGGCGATTCTACGCAATTCGAACCCGCTCCAGAAGCTTTCATCGACTATATTCTTTATTGAGTTTTTAGCAGTTTCTTTTTATATGGGACTGAGAATAGAGTTAGATTAATTATTTTTTAATTGTTGTTTTAACTGCTTACTTCCTTCTTGCTAGGCTGTGAAAGAGAATATATTAAGGAAAAATACCTAAGTAACAAATAATGATTAATTTCAAGGCGAAATCTCTCTTCCAAATTGTTGTTATTTAATTTTATTTGAAAGTATTTACATGCTGTAAAGTATGCACATGAGATGGCGCTAAGCATCGCGTTTACTGTAGTAGGGTAGGGCCACGCAACTGTCTTCGCAGTTGCCCGAATGCAAGTCCGTCCGGGTAAGTAACACGACTTCACGGAAGTGTTATACCTCTGTGTTTCATCTGGTTTGTGAGGTAGCCGGGGCCCACTTTATTAAGGAGTGGATCCGCATCTGCAACCCTACAGGTGTTGCAAATGTCAATGGACGGCGGTTATCACTTAACATCAGGTAAACTGTCAACTCGTTTGCCATCTTTGGACAAAAACAAAAAAAAATGTTCTGCTGCACCTCGTTGAAGACACCCAATTTTCTGCTTTGGCCATGCATTTTGTATTATCTATATTTCAAATATATTACATATTGTAAAATAAAGTCGCCTTTATCTGTCTGTCTAAATGCGATAAACTTAAAAACGATGGCAACGATTTTTATGCAGTTTTCACCAACACTCCGTGATTCATGAGGATTGATAAGGTTTAATTTAAAAATCATGCCGGACGCATAAAACTCGGCGAGTTGGCGAAAAAATGTGGGCATATACTCGTGTTCTATACTACCCGAAGTCTGGCAGGTTCGTGTATTTAAATATTTCAATAGGATTTCAAACGAGAGCACAGTTTATGACTACGAGTTGAACACAGAGAATAAACCCCTAGCCGAAATAAAACCGAATAGCCCTAAAAGGCAATCGTTAGATTTATCTTGCTGAACATAACATATTAACTGAAAATTATATATTTACGTCTGTTTTATCAGATACAATATAATGATAGCTTACATGATATTAGGATGTTTCGCAATTCATAGCTATGAAAGTCTACTAATTTTACTATTCTAAACATGCAAAGATTAATAAATTACAGTAAATTTTAATCAAAATGTCCATGTGTTTCATATAGAACGATTAGTAGGAAAGTACACAAACGTAATGTAGAGGGTCTTAAATGAGATTAATAAACAGAATTATCATCATGATTCCGTAAGTAGAAAATACACCCACCACCCACAATTACGAGATGTGCCCGAAACGATTGAAAGTTTTTGTTGTTCGCGCTGTTTTATCTGTTTTTCAAGGAACACGTCAAAAATCGGAAGGTCTAGGCCCGGTGACCAACGAATGGCGGTCGTATTGATATCATATTGAACGTTGATAAGATTGCAAACGCTATCAGCTTAGTTGTTTCGACTCCTGTCGTATTTACGGACAGCTGTGCGGTCTCGAAGGTTTTCGGTTTCACGTTTCTTTTTTTTTTTAAATTAAAATGTGCATCAAGTGACATTGCGAACGCGGGATAGGAAATCCGTTGCAATGGTCCTCCGCAACTGTGTGCGTAGACTGCGCGACTGTGTGTGCTTGTTTTTCATTTTCGTCTGTTGCTGCTGTAACGTAAGTTGCCTTTTATTACGTCTCGATAAAAATAAAATAAGATCTAAATAAAGCTGATATCACATAGCACATCTAAATATTTAAATTTAAATAGGATTTGAATAATTTTCATTTATTGTGCAGAAATACACGCTCACCTTTAGAGAAACTAGAGAATTTTTTTAAATATATTGAAATACAAAAACAAAATATATGGCTGTTTAGATGTAAATTATAGATTAGTTTACGTCTATTAATCATCTGTAGCATTACACTTTACTACAGTTTTTAACGCAATTCTGATACTTTCGCCTGATGGTTTTGCTTTAAACAAATAATGTTGTTTTATGACAAAATTAAATTATCTTTCTTTCGATAGTAAATAGTGCATTTGCAGAGTAAATAATTAGTTGTAGTCAGTGCCGGATTAACCGCGTAGCAAGAGTAGCAATTGCTACGGGCCCCGCGTCCAAAGGGGGTCCCCCTTATATTAGCATGGTTAATTAAGCCCACTGATCTCTATTTAAGCGTAATTTTTAGGGTTCCGTACCCTAAGGGTAAAACAGGATTATTACTAAGACCCTGCTGTCTGTCTTTTTGACTGTCCGTCTGCCACTATCTGTATCTCATGAACCGTGATAAATAGAGATTAGACAGATGAAATTTTCACAGATGATTTTGTACACTTGTTGTTTCACAGATGTATTTCTGTTGCCGCTATAACAACAACTACAAAAAAACAGAATAAAAAAATATTTAAATGGGGCTCCCATTAAACAGACATGATTTTTTTCCGTTTTTTATAGGTATGGTACTGCAATATAGATTAACATTTGGCGTTTTTTTAGTGAAACTCATTTAATAAGTATTGAAGTATTAATACCATTTTATAGATCAGATAGATACAGAACTCATTGCACATCAAGAGACGTTTGAAAGAGTTTACTACGGGCCCGCGCTTGCTTAATTGCTTGTAGTCAAAACATCATAATAAAATTAAAGATTTTTTTTAATCTACTATCTTAAGTAAATCGTGAAACAAGCGGAAATCTTTAGAGATTTTTACCTTTCGTAATAAGTAGGCCTTACTTCGATATCAAATAATTTAATCATTAATACACTCCAATTTGTTATGGAAAGTTTTCAGTACAACTGAGGTTACTAAAAGTAAAAAAAGCATTTCTGTTATATAAAAAATGGGACTGTTGTTAAAATAACCTACGTATATAATACAGATTTGTAACATTTATACGCTTTGCAGAGCCTCAGATGGTAACCTGACATTTTACCTACTAAATCCCTTAACGTTAGATTCATCAAATGAGTTAATATTATATAATTAGTATCTATTAAGAGCCGTGATAGCTCAGTGTCCGGGCGGTCGCTTTTAATTTAATATACTCGAGCAACCTGAGTTCGATCCCCCGTTCCAGCGCCAATGAAATTGTCAATTTTATAAGTGCTGAATTATCACGTGCTCAGCGGTCAAGGGAAACATCGTGAGGAAACTGCATATTTTCGAAATAAAAACAAAATTTTTTTGAAGATATGTGCAGTCCGCCAATCCGCAGTGGAGCCGCGTGGTGGACTATGCTATAATATCCTCTGTACAGAGTGGGCAAAGACGCCCAGCAGTGAGACATGTATAGGCTGATACTTTACATAGTATCTATAATGAATGATATTTTCATGAAAATAAAAAAAAATACTGTACGATTGCTATGTTGTTGCATTCAAAAACGAAAACCATTTCACGTGCTCGTGATAAGATATCTTAATTTAAATTAATTGAAAATAAATCTGTTTATTTAATGTATTTATGCTGTTTCTAAATTTTAATCTCAAAAGTACTATCGATAAGGCTTTTCTGAGGAAACAGATAAATTTAATCCGCTATAACTCAATGTTTTGTATATAAGTAGATACAATGTATTAATTAATTATTTATAGTGTTAGTCCCTGCACTTAAAATGATACTTAGTAAATATAAAAAATTATAATAATTACTGAAATTCATCAATCAGACACTTGCCACTAAGCTAAGTGGTCGATATACTCACCGCGCGAAAGTGTCGACATGTCTACTTTGTTTTTGTTGCATTTTTAGTAATGCTTGTGCATCATGACACTCATCGTCTTGTTTCTCTCTCTTAATATTTCTGTTGTAAATGTCTCGGTATTCTTCTGAACATTTCCTTTTACAAGGCTCTTCAAAATTGTCAAAATATTCCCGTTGTTTTTCTACAAAAGTATTGAGTGACTTCTAAAGCCTTTTTAACTACCTCTATCTGTGTCGAGCATCTTCTTGGTTACTTGTCCAAGCGCTCTTTAAAAGTTTGTGTGATGGCCGTTTCGATGCTTGACTTACGTAAGCGGGATGATAAGTAACTAGCCACTGCTATTTAAAAAGTTAAAATTAAAAAATTATATGTCATTTTTAAATTCGTATCTCACCTGTGTTCTAAATTGGAATTTGGTGGTGCGAAAATTTTATTGATTTTTTTGTTATTTGAAAATATATTTCGCCAACTGTTTTCAAAATGGATAAAATTGAAAGAGCGGTGATAAAGTTTCTTCATATGAAGGGCATGAAGGGGAAAGATATCTATGACGAGTTAAATAATGTTTTGGGTGAATGTGCTCCTTCTTATGCCACAGTAAATAACTGGGTGGCTGAGTTTAAACGCGGTAGTACATGTGTCCAAGATGAAGACCGGGCCGGACGTCTAAAAAGTGTCACGACTACCTAAATGATCGTGAAAGTACATGATACGGTTTTAGCAGATCAACAATTGAAGTTATATGAAAAGAACGGGTACATCATATCCTAAGTGAGGAATTAAATATGAAAAAGTTAACGGCCCGTTGGGTGCCGCGATTGCTTACGCACGATCAAAAAAGGATTCGGGTGCAAAACTCAAAAGAACCTCTGGATCGTTTTCAGAGTATTAAGGCCGATTTTTTACGTCGATTTGTTACAACAAATGAAACATGGGTTCATCATTACATGCCAGAATAAAAAATTCAATCAAAACAGTGGACTCAATAGGGATGCCCCGGCTCCAAAAAAAGCCTTGGCTGTAAATTTGGCCGGAAAAGTGATGGTTTCCATCTTTTGGCATGCAGATGGGATCTTGATGACAGATTACCTTCCTAAAGATCAAACAATTAATGGAGAATACTACGCTAATTTTCTAGATAAGCTTCATCAATATTCAGCAAAAACGACCAGGTTTGGCGAAAAAGAATCATCTTCCGCCAAGACAACGCTAGGGTCCACATATCACGTTAAAGCTATGACAAAAATCAACGAATTGAAATATTATTTGCTGCCCCACCCACATTATTCGCCAGATCTAGCGCCAGCAGACTTCCACTTATTCCCTAAGCTCAAAACTTTATTGGCCGGACAGAAATTTGCCGCTGTAAATGAGTATTTTCCAGGCCTCGAAAGAAATCATTTTATGGAAGGCATTAGTGCTTCAGAACGACGATGGACTAAGTGCGTAGACGTTCACGGAGACTATATCGAAAAATAAAAGTAATTTTATCACGGAAAGTTAAATGATTTCTTATTAGGCTAGTTACTTATCATCCCGCCCTCGTAAATACGATAATTAAATCCAGTCAGACGATATATTTCCATTATTAAGAAATGTTTAATTTAAAAGAGTTAATCGGACAAGCGCTTAATGATAGTGTTGTAATCTTATATTAAATACGAGTAATTTAATCAAATCATAATAAATTTACTTTAATCAGCGTACGAATAAAAAACTGGAGTAATGACATTTCAACTTGGTAGTAATATTGTACAACCATTTAAATATAAAAGGAAATGGAATAAAAGAGGAAGACAACTGTTGTATTATGTCAAAAAAGTATCTGTAGAAAAGCTACATATTATGAAAGAGACGGAAGCGAGTGGGATAGTGAATATTAACTAGACAATATTAAAAATGCCTGTAATAAATATTTTCCGTGCCTTCAATACATGTAAAAAATATACAATATTCTTACTTATAAATTATAGAAACATTCAATGGAACGTGCGTCAGAAGATAATAAAGTTGAAAACGATAACTTCGCGATATAAAGTGCAAATACCGATTAACATGGATAAACGTTATATTTGTTTAGTGCTAATTCGGTGTTATTGATGGGCTGAAGTTTTATAAAAATTATGTTAGTTAAGCATCGTATACATGATATGACAGTTGAGTTATCTGTGTTTAAACACAAACACGGGATATCATTGACAATCATTGACCGAGCCAAAAGTAAGGTTACACACAACGTACATTATGATGTCGCTGTATGTATAAAAAGCTATATTTTGTTGATTACCGATGATCTTTTCAACAGCTCATTATGGCTTTTGGATACAATAATTTTGTATAGCTATATCAGTTTCCGTTCAAACGCCGATTAACCAAGAATTAACCTAAACAGGCAAACGTAAAACCTATTTACCTATACGAGTTTAGCGCTGAAGTATTAAGGAGGTAGTTTTTACTGCTAGAGATCATCGCTTAGCTTAATTACGCCCGGTTTCTGAAACACTAGATATCGTAAAAGTTAACTAATCAAATTACTTTTCAAATATCATTTAAGTTGCCAAAAGAATGGTTAAACTCTATGAATTGATCATTAAGAAGATCATTCAAAAATCAAAATCAAAATCAAAAATATATTTATTCGCATAGACGCTTGCGCGTTCTTATGAAACGTCAACATTTAACATAAAAATTAATACGTTCGTACCACTAGTAAGCTACCACTGATTCTGATTAATTCAGAGAGTTTAATCATTCTTTTGGCAACTCAAGTGACATTTGAAAAGCCATTTGACAGCGTATTAGTTAACTTCTACGATGATCAGTGTTTCAGAAACCGGGCGTAAGCCTTATACTGTTCACTTTTTATGTACACGAAATACGTAATGCTTAATTTACAATGCGTTTGACATGAAATGCCAAATAGTACAACATGACAATGTGGTCTGTGGACGCAATAGAAAG